AACCAACAAAAAGCAAGAAAAAAACATTAAAACTAAAACGCAAAGAGATGAAGTATAAAGGATAAGAAATTTGAAGAACCCAGAAAAAACAACCGATGAAAGACGACGTTTCATTTTTTCCCAAATGAAATGAAAAAGGCAGATAATGAACACATCGAAGAAGCAATATAATCTATAGTTTCTGCCCAAAGAAAAAAAACGAAAGAGGCCGAAAAAATCAGATCATCAAACAATCTAGGTTTCTGTGGAAGGACCAAACGGGGCAATTGAAGAAGGAAATGACCAAAAAACCAGCCCAAGATCAACCGGACAATTAAGGGTGCGTTTGGTTCATGGATTAAAACTATGTGATTAGAACCATTTTTGATTTATGTGTATTTTTTATGAGAGAAAATACTGTAGCGAACAACGAACTATAATTCGAATCAGAGAACAAATTCATCTACCAAACATCACCTAAAAGTAAATGCCGTTTAGTTCACTAATTTAACTTTTTAATTTGAGATGTGATATGATTTTATATGAAAATTTTTTATTATAGTAAAAAAATTACATGTAATTATTTTTGAGAATTTTTTATTATAACAAAACTCAAATCAGTAAAATTAATGGAGCGTGAATGCATAAATGACTAATCAGAATATAAAGCGTAAAAAGACCAAATAGCCCCAGCCTAAGAGATGAAGAACAAAGGGAAAAACAGACAACTCACCGTCAAGAGGCAAAATCGGGAAAAATGTGAAAGTGTAAATAATGATCGTGAGGTCTCCTTTAGTATATTTATAACGTCTAAGGTCTCGTTCGCTTCGCGGATTTGAGTTTTCAATTTGAGCTGAGATGTGAAATTTTTTAAGAACTTTTAACTATACTAAAAAAAGTTAAATGTGACATTTTCTGAGAGCTTTTAACTGTAGAAATCTAAAACTGAAAACTCAAATCGGTGAAATGAACGAGACCTAAAATACCTCTAGTGTTTTTAAACTTAGACTCAAAAACTCCATAAAGCAATTAAATTTTTAAAAATATTAAAACTTTCTTCCACAATTTATATTTAAATGTTATTTTAGATATGATTTAATAAAAACGTGGAATAAACAAAAATTTAAAATGTTCAAATAAATATTCCCAATCTAACACATACTTCAATTATTTTGAGAGTTCTCATTCTTTGAAATTGATTTTATTTGATATTTTGGTTTAATAATTTTTTTAACTTGTATTTACTAAAGACTGAGAATGGTAATCTTTATAATGAAAAAAATTTAGTTGTTTCAAGGGTATTTTGATGTTGATTTATAAACACATAGTATTTTGAGCATTTGCATGATAAGAGTGATAAAAATGGTATTTAAAAAAACACAAAAGGTGTTTTGAGTATCATCCAAAAATAATAATAAATTTCTTGTAAGTGCATGTTTGGTTTAAAGGTTCAAACTACTTTATTTTTGGTTCAAATAGTTTTTTCTCTCATAAGAAATTTAAAATATTCTAATGAGATTTATATATTTAGGCAAGGTCTCTGGTCAGGCACTTAGAAAGTGCTGACCAGAACGGCACTTGTACATTTTTGTATGAAGTGTGTATATTTACAGTAAGTTGTGTATATTTACAGGTAAATTGTGTATATTTACATGACACTTATATAATTGTGTAATCGTGTATATTTACATGTAAATCGTAACAGTTATAAGAAACGACAATGTATATTAATCTTCAAAACATATTTTTTTTATAACAATTAGTGAACACATAGCATAAAAATATATATGTTGATTGATTTATTATATTTTATGTTAAATATATAAGACTTTATACACAATTGTGCTGACCAGAGATAATTCATATATATTTTAATTGCAAAAATGGGGGTGGTTGAGAGACGAGGATATCAGTATCCGCGAACACTATTCCAGTGCAGCGTCAACACCGTCAGCCTCTCAGGGGCAGATTGATCAACCAGGAAATATTACGCACGTGTGTTGCATCGGCGTTTCTTTTTTTAATGAATCCGCACGGGGGAAACGTACCGGTAAAAGACCCCTAACCGTGATGTTGCCTAGGGTTTAGGGTTGTTTAGACACGTGCGTTTCCCAGCCCACACCCCCTGGTAGTGCCGAATCATTCGTTTCCTTTGATCATTTAAATTGCCAGAGATCCGTCTATTGTTTCCATGTGGGACTTTATAATCTAAAAATCCAAACGCACTCTTCTTGACAAAACAAAATAAAACAAAAAAAGTTTTCGACTTCATCATTTTCAACATTGTATACTTTTATGGATAAAATATTGTTTTTGTCCTATTCTTGGGATAATTTAGGATTAGATCTGATATTTTAAGCCCGTTTAGTTTACTGATTTGAGTTTTTAATTTGAATTGAGATGTGATTTTATGTGAGAACTTTTTACTGTAATAAAAAAAATTAAATGTGAATGTTTTTAAAAATTTTTTACTGTAATAAAATTTGAATTAGTGAAATGAACATGATCTTTACGTGTCTGGTATGATCAAAGTTTGACTTGAGGTGAAAAGGATTTTATGGAACATTTTTTTTAATATAATTTTTTTTTTTTGTATTTTAGCCTAGAATGATATAACTCGGTGCTTAAAAGTTAATAACTCATACAATGCGACTCAATGAGGGAGAAAATGCTCTTATGCAACAAATATTGTCATATCATTAGTTTAATAAAGGCATCCATTCATTTTCATGCTAATGACAAAGTTTATAAATTGTTTCTCGTACAGTTTGGCCTTTTCTTACCAACATCAAGATTTTCATAGTCCCAATACGATAGGCGACATATCCAAGCAAAATAAATCGAGAGGAATATTAACAGCGTGTTTAGAATCAATTTCGTTTTTGTTTTTCACGTTTTTTAAGATAAAAAATGAGATTGAGGGGAAAAATGTGTTTGGAGGAAAAATGGTAAGAAAACCGAAAATAATTTCATTCTTTAGTTTAAGGCCCGTTTAGTTTGCCGATTCGAGTTTTTAATTCGAGTTGAGATGTGACTTTATGTGAGAGTTTTTTACTGTAGTAACAAAGTTAGATGCGACTGTTTTTGAGAGATTTTATTGTAACAAAACTCGAATCGGTGAAATGAACTGGACCTTAGTGTAAAATCACTTGGGCCCATCTAGTTTACTGATTCGAGTTTTTAATTCGAGTTGAGATGTGATTTTATGTGAGAGCTTTTTACTGTAGCAAAAAAGTTAGTTGTGACTGTTTTTGAGAGCTTTTTACTGTAACAAAACTCGAATTGGTGAAATGAACGGGGCTTAGGAAATGAAAACGATTTGAAGTTGTTTTTCATTTTTTATTTTCATTTCTTTGGACAAATACCTTTTTTTTTGGGTAGATAGGTGAAAATTATATAACTAAACGGAGTTTTAGTTTTTTTTTAACTTAAAATAGTCTCTTAATAAAACTATCAAAAGCATTTTCAGAAACAATTTTTATTTGAGATTAAAAATGTTTTCATTTCTAATTTCATACAAAAAATAAAATCATTTTGAAACTAATTCCAAACACAGTCTAAAAATTAGACTAGAGGGAAGTAGGTTACCCTATTTTCATTTGAGAAACGAAGACAATGTATTTGTAAAAAAAAGACATTAATGTCATTAATGACATTTGAATCCGAACGCGATATGAAGGACCTTGAATTGCTCAAAACCACATTGAAAATATTTAATTCAAAAATCAAATTTTAATAGCCACATTGTCGAGCCAACAACACACCTCTAGCTACCATGCATTTGGTAACATGCATGCTAGTGCGCTATATATATATATATATATATATATATAATTTTTTTGGTATCAAATCTCTATATAAAACTAAAGTTGCTTTTAGAATTAGTTTTAAAATGATTTTATATTTAATAAAAAGTAAATTTGAGATTTTTTGAAAATTATTTTCAGGTCGATTTTAAAATTGCGTTTGGTTGGTTTTTTAAGATATTGTTTTGAGTATAATAAAAAAAATGAAATCGTGCTTATTAATTAATATATTATAATATTATTGATTAGTACTAAAATATGAGAATAGAAAAGTGAAAACAATTTTGAACTGTTTTCTAATTCCTTTACAAAAATCATTCTCACTATTTTTATTTTTATTTTCGTTTTCAAAACATTTATTAAACAAACGTCGTTTCGTTTTTCATTTTTATTTTTTACTTCTCGTAATACGTAAAAATCATTTTTAAAAACGGTTTCAAACATGCACTAAGGGACTTTGCTCGGCAAATAGGAGAAGGTAACTCGATTAAAAGTTGGCTTTGATATGTGGATTCCAGGTCCAAACACAATTAAGTCTTATTGCTTGTGTTCACCATGTTAACACATTTGGTTCCATGATCTATTTTTCATACAAGAGAAACATATAAACTCGATGCTCGTTTCCTATTAGTTTGTGATGATAACTTATAGTATCATTTGATTTACAAGCAAACTTCTTTTATTGGAGGTGTTCACAATCAATTAGATCAATTGAAAGGAGAAGAAAAACATAAACCAACAAAAACAAAAGTGTTTGAGGATGACATGGATTCATAAATTATTTGATAATTTGATGTCTCTTGAATCAGTTTTGAGGAGCTATCATGGGAAAAGATCCTAATTGAAACAGTAAAAAATGAGAAAAAAATAAAAATAATGAAAAGAAATCTCCTTAAACATACTTATATAGCATCTTAACGGCAATTCTAAGACAAACGATGTAAATAAAGCCCCACGCCTCTACTGTTATGACACAATCACTTTGGTTAGTATTGACTTATAAGTTAGTTATTTTATTTTTTAGAGTTTCTCTATAAAAGCAGAAAAAATAAATTATTGATAGTTTTTTATTTTTTAACCGTTAAATTTGTATAAAAAATTTTATGTTCTTCATATATTTTTAATCTAATGTAATTTAAAAAAAAAAAAGGAAAAACACACAAAAGACCTGGCATTTGTATAATTCAAAATTCCCCCATTTTGAAAGCACGAAATTTGAAATACAGTCAACTTCAATTTCCCTCTCATTTCTCTGGCTCTGCAATGGCCGCCATGGCTCTAAAACTGGTGGTAACCAATGGCCCTCGAGAAGGCGAAACCCTAGAATACAAACCCGGCGCCACCGTCCGAATCGGCAGGATTGTCCGCGGCAACAACTTGCCGATCAAGGATTCCGGCATTTCTTCCAAGCACCTCACCATCGGATCCGAATCGGGCAAGTGGATCCTCCGCGATCTCGACTCCTCCAACGGCACTTTCCTCAACGACAAGCAGATCGATCCGAACGCCGCCGTCGACCTCCGTGACGGCGATGTCGTCAAAATCGGCGAGCAGACTTCGATTTCCGTCAAGATCGACGAGTTCGAAGGAAGCCAGTTGTGGCGGAACCCTAGGCGCGGAGTGGAGAAGAGCGCGGTGGACTCGGTTGCCGCAAGTCGGGGCGGGAGAGGTAGGGTTTTGAAGGAGAGCGAAGAGAATTGTGGCTTGGCGGTGGACAATTCCGCGGAGGTGGTCGGAAATCGGAGGCGTGGTCGCCCGAGGAAAGTTGGGGTTTTGAACATCAACGTTGAGGAGGAGGAGGAGCTGTGCGAGGTCCAGAAAAATGGCGAGGTTTTCGGTTCCGGGGATGAGAAATTGGAAGAGAAACAAGCAAGACAAGCGAGCACAAGGCGAACTCGAAGCTCGAAGATGTCGAAGGATGATGAAATTGTTGCGTCTGGTTCTGTTCTCCAGAATATTCCGGAAAATGATTTAGCAGGTAGAGAAGTGGGGGTTGGGGCTGGTTGCGGCACGGTGGAAGAGAGACCGGTAAGGCAAGTGAGCACTAGGCGAAAGCAGAACTCGAAGAGCTCAAAGAATGATGAAAGTGTTGTTTCTGATTCGTTCCTTGTGGTAATTCCGGAGATTTATGATCTAGAAGGTGGAGAAGTAGAGGTTGTTGCCAAAAAGAAGCGCATGAATACGCGGAGGGGGAGGAATTTGCCACCGAAGAAGCCACCACAATCTGTTCTGATTGATATCTCGGAGAATTCAGAAGACAAAATTCGGGTTGATGCCGCGAATTATGAAAGAGTAAATGTGTCGAATTTGGGGGAGCAGGATGGAATCGAAACCGTCAGTTATGAGGAAGGAAATGAAGATGCTTGCAGAAATGTGGGTAGTTCTGATGAGGCAAAGGAAGGTATAGGTTCTGGTTCTGGTTCTAAAGAGAATTCATTTGAGGTTGGAAAGGGGGTGGATTTGGAGAAGATGACACTCGGGGAGTGGTTTGATTTCTTGGAGGTTACTTTGCCGAAACAGATAATTGAAGCAACTGAGGAGATGATCATGGGGATGAGATTGAAAGCCAAAAGAGTTCATGAGTACACAATACAGCAGAAGAGCGAGATGGCCAAAGTACTTGTGGGCTAGAGGGAGAATCGCCGAAAGAATTATATGGTAATTAGTACCTTATTTTCTTGGTGTATATACTTATGGAATATGTCAGATCCTTATTTAATCCTCCCATTTGTCATTATCATATTCCATGATAATTGCAGCTTGTTAGGAATTTATAGTTGTTTATGTTTGGGATTTGATGGCTTCGATCTATTTGTGGTTTGTTTAATGGTAACTTTACTTTAGTGGCTTTGTTTGCACCTTTTTGCTTTCTTAATCCTGCATCCACCTAAACAGAAGAAAATTTTTGTTTTGTTGAAAGATGGCATTTTGATCGTCATGTGAGCTCGGAGTTGAAGTGTTGGACATAAAAACCAATAGGAAAATATTTTCATTTATAAACTAGCAAATCAAGTGGTTATGTGCTGCATTAGGGTGGCCTTTAGAATTCTAATAGCTCGTTGTGCGTTGTGAAAGGAAGATGGGATATTATTTGTCATTCACCTTTATCTTTTAAACTCCCATATCCTCTTTTGCGTTTATTTTGCGAGACAGATGATGAAAATAGATATGTTAACTAAGTAGAATTGGGTATAGGAGTGTATGTCAGTTTGTTGTGTCCGTTGTACAAGGTAGACAATAGAGTAACCACCTTATCCATCTCGCTCTCACCATAAACAAGCGCACGGAACGATTGACTCTGCAGGGGCAGTAAGTGTTAAAATGTTGAATGTATTGGCTTAATAAGCGGGCTTGCTTGGTCTAGTGGCACAAGAGGGTTCGGGTGGGGTGGGGTGGCGTTTGGAGGGAAGTTGTGGGTTCGATCCTAAGCGGGGTTGTAAGTGTAGCAAGATAGCCCAATATGCAATTCTATTTTTTTGGCAGCTTCTACATTCTTAGCCGTAAATTTGCTACCTTGAAATTCATTTTGATTCCTTGTGATTAAAGGGTTACATTTGAGCGTAGCACCACTTACGCTGTTAGAATTGTGGCCTTGTAGATGCTTAATATTTTGTGCCTTTTACAGAGCACAGTCCGCAGGAGCCATCTGGATTCTGCCGTACATTGTGAAAATCACCTAAAAAATGTCTCAAAGCAACGCTTTGCTGTATTAGCTTCTCCTAAGGGGGCTTCTGTATTGATACCCTTATATTGATGACAGTCTGGAGTTTTTGTTGAATGCAACTTGCGCAAGGTTCTGCAACAGATTGCGTTCAGGTAGACTATGAACACGCTATTGTTGCTGATGGCACTCTTTTTCGTGCTACTAGAGCACGGGTTGATTATGTATGCTGTTGTAAATTGAGGCTACAAAGTCAATGGAGGGTTATCAGATTATAGAATAATTTCAATATTGTAGCATGTAGGCTGTAGGCCTTAAACCTTCCTGATCATCAAGTGTATTTGATCAATTAGTTGGAACTTTCTACAATGATATTCGGACAGTTTTTGCAATACCCATTTTATTGTGTACTCCTATGTGGAAGATCCAGCTCTGCATTTGTCGTAGGCTGAGAATAATTGATTGTAAAAAGTATTATGTGTAAATATGCATAGGCTTAACCATTTATAAAATTGTTACCCAATGAGGAGGTTTTCGCTATCTTTTATGCGTAATCTTAGAAATCCAGTTTGGAACTTCCCAAATGAAGGCTGTTGACGGTCAAATTTCGCTAACAAAAAACCGACCGGATTACCTCTCGGTTTTCCCTCGGATTACCGGTCACTTGTGTGTAGCTTATCATATCAGGAATTGATGAATATGTGTGTGTGCGCGTATTTACTAAATCTCTAGTATGTAAATGACGCAAGGAAATTTATAGTGGTTCACTCTATAAACTTTAGAGCTACATCCACTGTAATCTTGTATTTCTTTGTGTTTGGGCAAATTACAATTTACAATAATTATTCTCGATCGAGAGTTGTTTTTTTTGTTTTCACCTCCCCCTTGCTGGGGGTCTTTTCCCTTTTATATTTGGGCTTCCTTCGCTCAGGGGGTTTCCCTCACAGCTAGAAGCACTCAAGTGCTCTCCTTCGGTAGGCCCAGACGTAGCCCACTAATTAGCACTGTTCACTCAGTTGATTAGTCTTCTATTACGGCTCTGTGCTTCCCCGTAATACTTTCATGTCCCCTGTGGGAGCGGTCTGACAGCTCACAATTAATGCTTGCAGACCACCTCTGCTTCTGCACGCAATCCGTAACGTCCTCTAAGGGACGTTCCTCTCGTCGCCAGCACCTCTTAGCCCCAACCGCCTTCTTCGATGGCCCTTTCTGCGGTCGAGAGATCTTCATCCTTTGGCGTCGACGGAGCAATTGGTTGACGCCACAAAGGATTGTCGTCTTAACTTGGACTTCGTCCTGGGGCCTTCGCAGAGGAATATGAGGAGTCTGCAGGCGTCGAGGGCTCCTTGCTCGGTGAGGATTAATCAAGGCCACGTGTCGTGGTATACTTCGCCCACGCATCCGCCACATTTTCCCACACAACAGCTACCCCCCAGGTCGAGGGCGCCTTTTGGGTGGCCTCGGACTTAGGTTCGGTTGCCCTTCCATGCTTTGGGTGTGGGAAATCGGTCCCGAGCCTCCGTTTGCAATGATGGTCTGGGACCTTCGGATATCCTTTGGGGAATGCAACCGTCGCGTCGATTGATTTCTCATGATAACGTATGACCTTTATTTTAAAAGAACGAACATGGGCCTTTGGATTGCGACCTCTCTGCTTCCCGCCCTACCTCATCACTGTCAGATCTAGGCAGGTTTCTTTGGCCATCGGATCTTTAAGATCTCCATCTGACGGTCAGGGTCGAGGATGCCCGTCCCTTTAAATACCCTCTACGAACTTGAGAGCCATTTTTTCGAAACTCCAAGTTTTTCTTTCCCATCTGTTGGACCGCCGCCTTCTCCGATGGACTCCTTCCTCTCCAACCTCCGGACCGTGCTTTCTGTCCTCAGGCGTACCGCGCGGCCGCTCTCCCTTCTAGACTTTCCCGTAAGGCTCATCCTCTTCTTTTCTTTTTTTTTTTTTTTGACCTTCGACTTTTTCAGAGCTTGGTCCTTTCCATTCTCAACCTCCTTGACCTTGTCAAGGTCGAGGAGCGAAAAAATGAGATGGATGAGCTGGAGGCCAACCTTCAGTCCCTCGTTACCGACGCAAAACAAAAGCTAGATGATGCCAACGAGAAGAGGGACATGGCCTGGGCCAAGCTGGCGAGTTTGGAAGAAGAACTTCTAAAGTTAAAAAACGAGATGGCGAGTCTCAAGGAGCGGGCGGACTTATCTGACAAAAAATTGTCCGAGGCAGCTAGGGAAGCAGCTAGGGAAGCGGAGAGGCATTTTACTGAGGGGAAGACTGAGGGGAAGAGGAAGCCGAGGCAGAAGCTGCATTTGCTTTCGACACCAGGCGCGCCGAGGTCATTGAGGAGTTCAAGGCTTCCCAGGAGCTTACTGACATCCGCACCAGGGACTTCTAATCTGCGGGTCAACAAATTGTCGACCTGATCAAGAAGGAGCGTCCTGAGTGGGATTTGAGCTTTCTTTACGACTCCCCCTGCGGGTGATGACAATATTTCTCCGCCTGGTGACGGTGAAGACTCGGGAGCTGCCGCCGGCGAGGCCTGAAGGATTTTTAACTGCCTCATTTTGTTTTTTTTTTGTTGATCCGGACATCTTTTACTTTTATCTGTTCCTTATATATATATATTCAAAGGACAACAGTTTTTAATTTGTACCTTGGTTCGCGATTGCTGCTTTCTTTATTAAGTCTTCGCCTTTCTTTTCTGGAAGATCTGTCGTGGAGCAGACCCTTTGGGGTCGTCGTCTTAGGAAATTCCTTGGAATTTCGCTAAGTCTGTCTTCCCCCCTTGGAGGATTTGACATTGATAGTGCCCCTTGGGGTCGTCGTCTTGGGAAATTCCTTGGAATTTCGCTAAGCCTTTGTCTTTCCTTCTTGAAGGATCTGACGTCGATAGTGCCCCTTGTCTTTCCTTCTTGGAGGATCTGACGTCGATAGTGCCCCTTGTCTTTCCTTCTTGGAGGATCTGACGTCGATAGTGCCCCTTGTCTTTCCTTCTTGGAGGATCTGACGTCGATAGTGCCCCTTGTCTTTCCTTCTTGGAGGATCTGACGTCGATAGTGCCCCTTGTCTTTCCTTCTTGGAGGATCTGACGTCGATAGTGCCCCTTGTCTTTCCTTCTTGGAGGATCTGACGTCGATAGTGCCCCTTGGGGTCGTCGTCTTAGGAAATTCTTTGGAATTTCGCTAAGCCCCTTGTCTTTCCTTCTTAAAGGATCTGACGTCGATAGTGCCTTTTGGGGTCGTCGTCTTAAGAAATTCCTTAGAATTTCGCTAAGCCCCTTTTTTTGTTTAACCCGTGGATCCCTATCCCCCCATGTCTGTTTAATATAACCTTGGTTTTTAGGCAGACATGTTATTAAGGGGTGAATTCTTTTCCTTCTGCAAACATATCAATTTATTCACTTTGTAAAGAATGTACAATCGAGATATGCGAGAAATTCATACATTATTGGTAGTATAGCTTTAGTTGTTCTGCATTCCACGGGTGTTGGATCTTTTTGCCGTCGAGGCTTTCCAAAACATAGGTTCCGGGACGTAGCATTTTCCTTACGCGATAGGGCCTTTCCCAAGTTGGGCCTAGTGGACCAGTATTTTTGGGTTTTGTGCTTTGCGTTACCCTTTTTAGTACTAGGTCCCCTGGAATGAACCTCCTCTGTCGAACTTTCTTGTTGTAGTATCGCGCCGTTCTTTGCTGATAGGCGACGAGACGTAGTTGGGAGTCGAGCCTTTTTTCCTTCAACAAGTCGAGTTCTCCGTTCATGCCTTCTGCGTTGTCATCGTCGTTATGGACGACGGTTCTTAGAGTCAGCGTTTCGATTTCTATGGGGAGCACCGCTTCGACGCCATATGCCATGGAGAAAGGCGTTTTGCCCGTAGTAGTTCGGCTCGTCGTTCTGTATGCCCACAAGACTTTGGGAAGTTCCTCGGCCCATTTCCCTTTCAGATCGTCGAGTTTCTTTTTGAGGGTATATTTTAATATCTTGTTGACCACCTCGACTTGTCCATTGGATTGTGGATGGATCGGCATCGAAAAATCTTTCCGGATGCCGAAGTCATCGCAGAACTTGCGTGTTGAGGCTTTGTCGAACTGCTTTCCGTTGTCGGATACTATCGAGTGGGGAACCTCGAACCTGCATACGATATGATCCCACATGAATTTGGTGCATGCCGCTTCCGTGGTTATAGTTAAGGCCTTTGCCTCTGCCCACTTTGTGTAGTAGTCCACTGCAACGATCGCAAACCTAAACCTCCCGGGTGCACGATGTAACGGCCCGATCAGGTCAACCCCCCATTTGGCAAAAGGCCAAGGACTGAGAATGGACGTCAAATGTTCTGGGAGCGCTCTAGGAATTGTGGCATACCTTTGGCATTTATCGCAATGTCGGGCGTATTGAAAAGCGTCTTTTTGAGCGTGGGCCAGTAGTATCCTTGCCGCAAAACCTTTAGAGCCAAAGACTGCCCCCGGAGTGGTTACCGCAGATCCCTTCATGGATTTCGTGGAGGACCTTTTGTGCCTCGGTTTCATCCAAGCTCCGCTGTAGGGGGTTGGAGTAGCCTCATCGGTAGAGCAAGCCGTCATACGATAAGTACCTAGCAGCTCTATACCTGACCCGTCTGGCTTCGTCCTTATCGTTCGGCAATTGTGCATCCATTAGGTATTGGATGAGAAGGGAACCTACTCGGACAATTAATGCCTCCACCTTTTCTTCTATGGTTGGTCGCTCTAATTCCTTGATGGGGACGACCCCTAGTGTGTCAGATTCTCTAGAAGATGCTAGCTTCGCCAGAGCGTCGGCGCTTGTATTTTTGGTTCGTGATATATGGAGTATCTTATAATTTTTAAACTTAACGAGTTCTTCTTTTACCTTTCTTAAGTACGCTCCCATCTTCTCGCCGCGCGCTTGGTATTCTTCCTTTACTTGCGCGACAACCAATTGAGAATCGCTGAAGACGCTGAGTCTTTCAATCTTTAGGTGGCTGGCTAACCGCAGTCCGGCAATTAGTGCTTCATATCTCTCGGGGTTCATCGGTCGACGTTTCTGGCGCTTGGGCGGATACGAGGGGTCGACGTTTAGGAAATGACATATTACCAAGGCGTCGATCCCTTCCATGCGGAATGATTCCAGGCGAAGACATCTAGGTTCTTTCTGAGGAAATTTTCGATCTCACCTTTAAGTGATTGGGCTTCCTTCGCTCAAGGGGTTTCCCTCACAGCTAGAAGCACTCAAGTGCTCTCCTTCGGTAGGCCCAGACGTAGCCCACTAAT